CTGAGGAGCTCTGGTGGCATAGTGGTTAAAGCATTTGGCTATAAAGCAAAAGGTTAGTGGTTCAAACCCACCAGCTGCTCCATCGGAGAATGATAAGGTAGTCTGCTTCCGTAAAGATTTACAGCCCTAGAAATCCTATGGAGGCAATTCTACTCTGTGCTATAGGGTCCCCATGAGTTCAAATTGATTCAGTGGCAGTGACTTGTCATTTTTTGTTGTTGTTGTTATAGTTTATATAATTCCTACTACATGCAAGGAACTTTAAGGTACTTCATATATTCTACTCTATACCCAACCTAGAAATAACCCCTGAGACAGAGACATTATTTCCACTTTACAAATGAAAACAATAAGGTCAGACAGTTTCCATGTTCAGTTGCCTTCACATAAATGTCTACCTACCTCCAAAGCCAGAACCCTGCCCCATACCCTCCCTTGTTTCTCCACAGTGGAAAAAATATGAACTCTGAAACTGGGCAGACTGGGCTTTGGATTCCAGCTTTCCCTTCTTCTATGTATTTATCTTTGGACAAATCACTTATATCTCCAAGCCTTTGTTTTTGCAGCTATAATATGGATTGAAAAATACCTACTTCCTAGATGTATTCTGAGGATAGACACACATCTGGGCCCTGAATCAGAGAAGGGCACACAATCCATCCCTTTCCATTCCCCGTTGACTCAGCCAGCCCCATAGGAGATGCTGCCTTAGCCAATGTACACAAAATAGGGTCCTCAAAATCTAGCACCATCTGTTCCTCCCTGTACACAGGCCACAGACCAGGATGCAGAAGAGCCCAACAACTTGGTAGACTATTCCATCATCCATGCTGAGCCAGCCAATGTGTTTGACATCAATGCACATACAGGGGAGATCCGGCTGAAGAACTTCATCCGCTCCCTGGATGCCTTGCACAACATCACATCTGGCGGGGATGGCACATGGTCCCTTGAGGTGCAGGCCAAGGACCGAGGCTTTCCCTCCTTCAGCACTACAGCCCTGCTAAGAATTGACATTACAGACACTGAGGTGGGTAGAGAGCCTGGACAAGGGGCAGGGGTGGAGGGTTAGCCCAGGTTTCCTGCAACATGGCAAGAAGGGGACAAGCCATCTCTACTTTTTGTACAGAAGATTCTCAATGCTAGCAGAAACCTGTGCTGTTAAACACAAGGGCTTTGGAATCAGAGGACCTGGGTTGGAATCCTAGTTTTCTTAACAATGTGACTGTGGACATTGGAAAGCCTCCATCTTCTTTCCCATAAAATGGGAACTATGCTGTTTCCTTCACATGAATATTGAAAGAAGCAAAATCATTATGCATAGTTCTCAGCTCAGTACCTGGCAGAAAACTTCCCTTAAGAGGTTCCTGATACATATGGGAAGACAGGTTCCCCATAATCAAGGGTAAGCAACACCTTTGGTGTCTCTGTGTGGTACAAATAGTTAATGCAGTTGCTTGTTAACCAAAAGTTTTAAGGTTCAAGTCCACCCAGAGGCACCTCAGAAGAAAGGTATGGTGATCTATTTCTGAAAAATAGCCATTCAAAACCCTATGGAGTATAGTTCTACTCTGACACACATAGGGTTACTGTGACTCAGTAGTAATTGGTCAAGCCATATCTTAGTCTTGCAAGAACAGTGTTCAGCTTAAACAGGCATTCTAAATCTGAACGTAGTTGTGGTCATCATATCTGTCTGTGTGCATTCTCTTGGAACACACTGTGTTCTCTGTGTGCAATTTCTTGGATTATTATTTGCATCACAATCACTCTGTATGTGTGCAGTTTCCTGGAGGGGAGCCCATAGTGCTTCTCAGATTCTTAAAGGGACTCCTGACCTTAGAAAATTTAGGAAGCATCAGGTTTGGGAAGCTCACAGCCTAGACTCTGTATCCTCAGGGACCAGGTGGGAACCACTGAATGCAGAGGGGTGGTTTTCTCTTCCAGATGCTGACACGGGGTCCCATGGCTGCCTTCCTGATGCAGACCAAAGACAATCCCATGAAGGCTGTGGGTGTGCTGGCTGGCATCATGGCCATTGTTGTGGCCATAACTGTGCTCATCTCCACTGCCACCTTTTGGCGTAACAAAAAGTCCAACAAGGTCCTGCCTGTGCGGCGCGTGATCCACCAGCGACCCAGCCCCATGCCCCGCACCATCCGCATTGAGTGGCTCAAGTTCAGGAGAGCTAAGGCTGCAGCCAAGTTTGTGCTCAAAGAGGATGTTCCCAATGAGAACTGCAACAACAACAGGCTGGGAGACTCATTACCCCCCAGAGCTCCAGTACCCCCACCTCCACCCAGAGTGGTGCCCACCATGGGCACTTTCCACTGGACTGTGCCTACAATCTCTGGCTCACTAGCTTCCAAACAACCCCAATTGTCACCAAAGCCAAAGGCCTTGGGAAGCCCTGTTCAGTCAGCTCTGGTTTCGGAGCTCAAGCAAAAGTTTGAGAAGAATGTGGACAGTAAGGCTTATTTCTAGACTGTGTCCTGGACACCCCTCCCTCATGTGATTGTCCTGTCACTTGGACCATGCTCCCCATCCTCTACTCCTTAGATTCACCCTTCTTCTGTACAGTGATGGAGCCCCATATTCAGAGTCCCAACATCACTTTTCCTCTGTTTGTAGGGTACAATTATCCAATAATTCCATTACCCAGATTCTTGACACAGCCACAATGCCCCTCTCTGCAGAGGTTGGGAATCAACAAGGAGCCAGCTCTATACATCAGCCACTCTCTCACCCAAGCCCTCCTAGCCCTCAGTCCCTACTGAGTTTTCCATACCCTTGTCAAGGAGCAGGACTCTAGCCATCTGTGATAAATCTTACTGGAATCTAGATCTGGGAGCTTCCAACTAAGAGCAGAGCAGGAAAAGGAGCTCACTCCTGGCCAGATTTGGAGGGTGATAAACCTTCAGAGCTGTAGGGGAATATATGCAGCAAAGTGAGGACAATGAAGCCCTAGGACCCCTGACGACAATAGAGATATGTATGGGCACTGTGGGGAAGAGGAGGGTGATATCAGGGCACAGTGTAGACCCCTGCTATGCCCAGTGGGACCAGGACATGGAGGTTGTAGGATGGGCCTTACCAAGAGTGAGAGCAGATGACCCCAGCTAGGGCTGCCTTAGACCCAGAAATTTCCACTTGGCAGTGGTCCTTGAGGCATCTGGAAGAGCATCAGGGCCTTTCTCTTAGGGGCCAGAGATCCTTGAAGAGATGGAAAGGGACTATAGATAGATATCAGGATGGAGATCTGGGAGACATCTCACTCTATGTGTAACCTTGAGAATGTTGTTCAAACTCCCCAATCATCTTCTTCCTCATCTTTAAAGTGAAGAAAGGAATTCCTGTTTGCCTCACCCATGAGTCTAGGATAAACATGGACAAAAATAATGGTGAGAAGGGCTTTAACAAATTGTAAAGCAGCATACATCTCAAGTATTTTTTAAAGGTCTGGGGTGCAGCTCTTCCAGAAAGTATTCAGTACCTCACAGCGGCTTTGCTGAGCACCCCATAGAGGCTGCTGGTGGGACTGCATGCCTCTGATCAGCCTCCCTCTCCTCCAGTGGCATTGCCTCATTCACGCCCCCACCTTCTCTTCCTCCCTCACCTCATGACCCAAACAATCCAGCCAGTCACCAGTCATGGTCAGAGAGGCCCAGCACTGGCAGCCAAAGCCAGTCCAAGCCTCCACTTTGCTGAGACAAGGAAGATGAGTTCCCAAGAGAGAAGTGACTTGCTCAAGGTAGTCATGGCAGGTCAGAAGTAGGAGGGTCCTGACTCCTGGGCATTGTTCTCTTGGTGGGACCTCCTTAACAACTATTGGTAGCCTCTCTAAGAAGAGAGGACATGGAGAGCCTCTATGGTGGATACAAAGAAGTAGTACCCCGAAACCTGTCACAAGGAAATTTAGATATGTACCCAGAGAGAGATATGTAGAACTGTTCCTTGCATTTTGGTCCACTAACTAGGCCCTCTAGGATACGCCAATGATTTTATTTAAAGAAATTATATGCAAATGTGATTTTCTTAATTCTTGAATCTATTTTGTGAGGTGTTATGCAGATGTGCCAAAGTACAGAACCTTGCTGGAGTCCTGCCATCTCCTGACCCAGAAAGTATTAAGAGTTAGGAGCTAGCAAGCCAGCAGCGCTGACAGGAGACTTGGCTTAACAATCAGGTACATTCCAGACTGTGCTTTCAGACAGGGCTGGGTTGGCTCATGTTTGCCTTCCCTGGGAAACATAGCTGTCCTCACAACTTGTATGCAATCAAACTCTCTGATAAATGGTAAATAAAATCTATTTATGGAAGGCCAAGCTGACCTCCTTTTCCCTGCTTGTGTTTGTGTGAGCTGAATCAAGGAGACGTTTCTTCCTGACAAAGCCATGGAGAGCCTGCTGCTAGAACTTCCATGGGAGACTCAACCCCGACCTCCACATCAACTCTGTGGGAGACTCAACAACCCTGACACATCTCTCACATGTAGGCACATCTACCAGTATGGGTTGTGTTGTTCTGACCAGCAACAAGCCCAGGGCTGCCTGGGGAAGAGTAGATCTGGAGCTAGAACTGAAGACCACATCCCTCACCAACCTAGCCTGGGAAGGAGTCACAAGGACTGGCCTTGGCCGGGGAGCCTGTAGAGCAATGTGGCCTCAGGGCTGGATGCTCAGTCTATCAAGTGGGCCCTGAGAGGGGCTAGTATCCAACACCAGCCCAGAAACTTGCGCTAAGGCAGAGCCAAATTTGGAGACTGGGGATTTGGGCAACTCTCACACTGGGGCATGGTGAGAAAGTGTGAAGTTGCTAGCATGAGACACTATGGGAAAGGGGGGTTGGTCAAACTTAAGGGACCAGTATATGTAATTAGCATGAGAGGAGTTCCTTGATGAGGGAGGAGTGGGGTGAGGCCATGACAAGTCTTGCTATGTTAGAGATTGGTGGGATGGAGGGGCTACCTGCCTGCTCAGCATATGAGACAGACCTGGACCTCACCTTGGATGTGAGGCCTCTAGGGAAAGTTCTGGGGAGGCAGGATGATGTCTGTGGCTGCCTCTGGGCCCTAGGAGTGAAGCTGTAAACCTCCTGAACAGTTACCAGATATAACTCAAAGAACAAGGCAGTCTTATTTTTCACCTGTAGCTGAGCTCAGATTTCCTACTCATTAAATAGCATAATGCTTTGATAGCTGAGTCTGAATTCTGTTCTGCCACTGCAATGTGACTTTTGGGGAAGAGGCCAAGCCTCTCTGGACTTCACATTTATCATTAATACAAGGTGCAAAGAATAGTTTCTATAAGAGTAAGAAGAGCTTTGCATCTAAAGCACCAAGCACACAACATAGTTCATAGACATTTGTCATTCTTAGTGATAAACAGGGCATTTGTAAACAAGGTTGGCTGGCTATGACCCAGATACTAGAGCCTTATATCCTGGAGGATATAGAGCTCTGCTGGCACAATGCCTAAGTCATTTGACTGCTAACCAGAAGGTTGGCAGTTCAAACCCACCAGCACTCAGCAGAAGGAAGATGAGGCAATCTATTTACATCAAGATTTACCTCCTTGGAAACCCAATAGGGGTCTCTATGAGTCAGAATCAACTCAGTGGGAGTTGGTTTTATATATATATATATATATATATATATATATATATATCCTGGAGAAGAAGCCCCCTCTCCCTGCACCCTGATCCCTAGGATATTTCTACCCATTAATAGGCCTGAAAGCTTTTACTCTGAGGAGAAGAGAAAAAAGTTAGGCTACCAGAGAAGTGGTGGAGGGAGGAGCAGATATCACAGCTTGCAGCTGTGTTTGAGCTCCTATACTCCAAGGGAGTTAGGAACTGATAAGATCTTCCCTAAGAGAATCTGTTCTAAAGAAATGCCCCCTTAGAGCCTAGTGGGCCAAGTGTGGTGGAGCCCTGTTCTCTGCTTCTGTAAGACTTTAAGAAGTTCTCTGGTACTATGAGGATTGGAGCTTTGGGAGAATTCTGGGCTGGCACACCTGGCATGGGTGTTGGCATCTCTTGGCAGGTAGTAAGTCTCCTCTAATGGTTTTCAATGGCCCTGGCTATGGAAGAATGGACAGTGAGTATGAGGATGAAGCCCTTTGAGGACTAAGGCTGCTAGGCAAGCATGTGCACACCCAGAGGACCCCAGGAGACCCACAGAAGTAACTGCAAATGGGGGCTGCTCTGAAGGGCCAGATTTCCAGAATGAGGTGATGATGACTTGAGCTACCATAACTCAATTAGTAAAGTACAGTGGCCTTATTTTATAGTAAGAAGCTGGTGATGTCAGTGACATCTGCATTTCATTATGAAATTGTACAAATGTACCTCTTGCACTGCATGAAGCCCAGTCATTTATTCATTATTCAATAATGTACCCAATCATTAATTGAATAATGTATGTTCTGAGTATATTTTCTTCAACAATCTCTCTTCAGTGTGCTAGGGATACACAGAGATAAATGAAAAAAAAGAGAAAAAAGGACAAATTCTTCACTCAAGTTGCTAACAGCAGAGGCATTGGGATTAGCAATGGCTTCATTCTATAAAAGGTCACACTGCTTACAATTATGTGGGAATCAAAAGTGCATGTCTTTAAATTATGTGCTTTAATAGATAAGATTCCCATGAGCAACTGAATCTAAAATTATGGTATCTTTTAAACATGAGTTAAACAGAACATATAAAGGGATACTGGTATAGATCATGTCATTAAATATGTATTTATTATTGACTACTAGAGATAAAACTAAAATATTTACAAGTCAATAGGTGTAAAATTTTTTTTTGCTTTAAAATACTCCAGGTTATTTTTAAAGGTAGAGGCAAAGACTAGATAAAATACAATTAGAAAAATTTTTAAATAATTGCAGCTGACTAAAGGAAGTTCAGTGTAATATTCTATCTACCTTTTGTGCAAATGAAATTTTCCACAATCAAAAGTATTTTTTCTTTTAATGTTCAAAAGGAAATAAACGTGGAGAAATTGATGAAATGAGAAAACAGTTGTTCTGAAGAGGAGAGCTGTCTTTAATTTTAAATATTCATTTCAATAAACACTGAATATCACTACAATTCAGGTACCAAACTAACCCAGTGGCTACAGAGAGGAAATTCAGTCTCTGCCCCAAAGGGTTCTAACAAAAATATTACCTATCCTCGGAAGGAAGATGGGGCAATCTACTTCCATAGTGATACTGCCTCGGAAACCCAAGGAGGGATCACTATGAGTCGGGTCTGACTCGACAGCACATAACAACAACAACAACTTCACTCCTTGTTTCTTTTTCCAAGAGATGTGAAGTTAAGGAAGGATCCATAGAGGATATGATACTTGAGGTGGGCCTGGGAATATGAGTCAGGTTGGTAAGGGAGGAAGGAGGGTAAACTTATGTGAGAAGGACACAAGGAGATCAGTGAGTACTCTCCAGAGGGTTTCACTGTAACAATGGGAGAAGCTGCAA